GCTTTTAAGTGCATCCAGGTTCTTCCTTCCAATTCATACTTTCTTAGTTTGACAGCATAAAGAATTCAACTCAGATATTAGTGACCAAATTTCCAGTTCAATTACATTCTATTAAATTAAGGAGTTTTATTTCAATTAATAATGCTTCTTTGGAGAAGTCCAGACCTTTGCAGGGTTTCTGATGCTTGTATCTCCAGCTTGCATTGGTGTGCCCGAGCATGGCAACATAAAGAACGATAGTAAGTGTAAATACCTCCAGTGAAAAGCAGTGGTGAAGTGGGATCTGTTTGAAGCACACTGGGGACCTGGCTGGTTTGTTAACCTAAAAAAAAAAAAAAAAAATCACTGCTGAAGGACTGACTGTGTTTCTCTCTGGGCAGAGCTTTATTACGAATGTTTTGTTAGTGAGATAGTTGTGACAGCAAGTCCTTTAAAGTGCCCTGAGAATTTCAACAAAATGGCTGCTTTCCTCAGGTTTCCTTCCTATCTGGATATCAACAGGCTTGCTGCCCTGAGCTCTAGGTGATCCTCTTCAGCTTCAACATGTAAAATTTAATAGGTGGCTGTTGTAAATTAGATATGCTGTTTCAGCTTTCATCAAACCACATTTGGAGGAAAACAGTGTTTGAACGTGTTCACTTCACTTTTCCCTTGCTAGCTGTTTCTGGCTGCTTTATTTAATAAAATTATTCTTTGTAAATAGTAAATACCCTTTGTAAATGCACGCTTCTCCCTGCTGCAGCTTCAAGCCTAATTATTAGTCCTTTCTAAGCAGCATCGTAGCCTGTTTGTAACTAATCTTTGTGGTGTAAGAGTCGTAGACAGTAATCCTGTGTGCCAAATGAGAAGCCTGTCTAGTTTTGGAATAGGAGCTATAATATGCCAGTGCTGTGTAATCTGGTGGTGTTTCAATGTGCTATTAATTTTTGCAGTGCTGGGCAGAGAGAGTGTCCAAAGCGATTGCTGAGGTCCCGTACAGCAGTGGCAGGGCTGCTATGGGGCTGTAGCAGAACCAGTGTCAAAACAAGTTGAAACATTGAATTATTTTGGTGGCATTTTAACCCCCTATGACCGAGTTACAGAACATAACTGCTCTGCAGCAGCTAACTTCTCATTGTTGTAGATGCCGTGATTTACTTCTCCAAAGTGCTCCCAAATAATTGCAAGGTAAGCGTGTGCATGCAAGCAGTTAATGCAGAGCAGCAGTTACCTGTACCTTGTTGGTGTGCCTTGCCTTGAATTAGAGCAGTCCTTAATGCCAGAGGTTTTTGTGTTTCTGTTTAACTATGGTTTACATGATGCAAACCAAGCCTGTTGGCGCTGCCTCCATCCCTGCCTTCAGTCCTCCCTGTGTAGCGCTGGCTCAGGCCGTATTGCTGTCCACACTGCGTATGAGCGAGGGCATGGTTGTAGGAATCCTTGCCTTCTGTATCAGCGAAACACTAGTTAAGTTTTAAATAGTAGGTCTTGGATGTGGCAAGCAGAGAAGGCAGTCAGCCCAGCTGTCCCTGGTAGGAGCTAGTCGTGCTGCTGGGGTTTCTTTCTTTTTTTTGTTAATTAACATGTTGAACAAATACTGCTGTAGGTAGAGGAAGCTAAAGCCCAACGAGCCAGTAAAAGCTACCCTTCACACCATGTTAGTGTTACCATACACTGAGCCAACAGTGCCGGTCTCTGGAGTATCATCCTAAATAACGTGCTGTTTTGTATACTGCCGTTGGCAGTGGGAAAACAGCTTGCTTTTGGTGATGGTAGTATACTTGGGGGGGTCTGATCTAGGGAAACTTGTTTTGGAAAGCTGCAGTGCCACTTCATTGGGAAAATGGAGAAGCTACAAATGAAATAAGACCCTCTTGTTCTTCTTTGGTGAGCAGTATTTGCTGGATTTGCCATGTTGCAATTGATAATCACTGCAGACCACTTCAGTTCCGTATTAATAAGGCATAATTTTTCCTTCAGTACGGGGGGAACTTACCTGTCATCTTTAAAAAGAAAAGTCAGCCAGAGACCACTACCTCAGTTGCTTCTTAGCCTATTGAGCAATTCATAGGTATTCCCAGAAATCTTAGTACAGTGGCCAGGTGGGCTGCTGTAGCACAAGGTAGGACAAGACTTCAGACTAATGCAAAGCTCTCTTAATGCTATTGTTTGAGAAATTAAGAAAATACTGTTTCTTTGTACACCTGGCAGATCTGTAGGCTGAGTGAAGAATCCTTGTGTTTGAGAAGAGCTGCACGCTTTACTGTCTGAAGCTTGTTCGTAACTCTAGAGCGTGGCAGGGGCGAGGGGCTCGAGTGAGGTGCGATATGGGTGTGAGTGCTGGAAGGATTACATGGAGAAACCTAGATGTGCTGTCTGCCTGGAACGTTTAGCAGGAGATTTCCCCGGTTTTGAGGCAAGACTTGTTCTAGACCATGGGAATCTTTTTAAAATAAAAGTTATACTGACTGTAGGAGCTGTTATCATAAGCAAGATAATCTAGAGATAAGATCAGTTTTTCTACTAAGGTATATTTTCATCTTTCATTGATTTGGTCTAGGAAGTGTGCGTGTTAAACGAGCTCCTAATAGCTCACTTAAGGTACTGCTGCATAATATATAGTATTACAGAAAAAGATGTTGTGGAGACCCAAATACAAAGTAACCTAGAAAGATAAAAAATGAGAGTCCTGAAAGAAGCTGCAGTCCTCCTCCCTGGGCTGAGATAGCCTTTGGTGCAGGAGACCCTTACATTTCCCATGCACCTTCTTGGTAGCAGGACTGACTTGAAACAGTTCAGCTGCTTGCTCCCCTCTGTCTGCAGGGCTGGCTCAGGCTCTGTGCAGCTGTGCACTGGGCTTTATGAGGGATAGATGCTACCCAAAAGCTTTATCTAGATGTTTTTTTTTCTTTGAATGGGATTCCATGCTGTCTAGCGTGGTTCTTGCATGGCTGCAGCAGCTCAAGCAGCGTTGGCCGGGCAGAGCACTTTTCGGCACAGCTGTCAGGACAAAAGGTGAGGATGGATCTCCGTAGGAGACATAAACTGTGCGAAGACCACCCTGTTGCTTGAAGAGTGTGTCTGAGCCTTGCCTCAGGGTATCCACATTGTGTTTGCACAGCAAGGTGTATCAGCTTGCTGCTTTGGCTGAGAGCTATGAAGAGAAGGGAAAAGAACTCCTGTCAGAGCAGCGACAGGAGTCCAGCTTGTCCCAGGGCTGCACCGTCACTGCTTTTGATGCAAGGAAATGGGAAAATGTGCCCGAAAGTGGGCCCAACTCCTTAGCAGGGAGCTGCAGCGCTGTTATCCTGACTCCTGCTAGTGTGCTGAAGGTTGGGATGCTCCTCACTCTTTCGACATGGCCAGTCGCGTGTGGTTGTCAGCCAGGCACCTCATTGTGTCGCTGCAGTTAGGAGCTTGGATCTGTGTTGCCTGGGAGACTTGTTTGAAGATGAACTGGGGCCGTTTTTTCACAATGGAGAGAGTTTGGCAATACCAGTTTCTGTTTTTTCTGCCCCATACTGTGTAGCAGATTTGCTGTCCCAGCTGTTTATGGGGCTTCACATGGACTGGGATCAGGGATCTGGTCTAACCTGTCTGAAGTTGCTTTTGTTCACATGGGTTTTTTTAAGCTGGAAAAAATTCTTATTTTGCCTTAAACTGTGCTGGCATTAATAAGAGTAAGAACAGACTGCAGAAGGAGAGGAGTGTCATCTTTTTATAGTATAAACCACAAGGGTAGTTCTTTGTGCATACATTTTGACCCTAGAGCTTTATTTTGGTGAATATTGTTGATGTTGCTGCTGAAAGATGCTGTCCTTCCCTTGTGCTAATGCAGCTGTTTGTGGTCAGGCAATTGAACAGATTTGAGAACTGATTCAGTGAAAAAAGATCCATTTCTGAGCCAGTGATTTGCGGTGTTGCAGCATAAGATGGCTGTACTAGCATGGACTGGTGAGAGCAGGACTTACAAGCATGTGGCTGAGGCTAAGGATGGAGTGGGATTGCTGTTTTGGGTGGAAGCATTGCCTTTTGGCAGCCTCAAGTCGTAGCTATAGCCCACGGGCTCAGAAAATCGCATTACTAGTTTATGTCCTACTTCTCAACAGCTTCAGAGTGTCCATTGAAAATTTGCCTTAAGGCAAACTTCCATTTTTGTGTCAAATGGCAAAGTACATGTAGCTGCTCACATAGCTGCTCTCCTGGCGCTTGCTGTTGCCTCTGCATGTAAATGGTCCTAAAACTGAGCTGAGAGTGCTTGGATTTAGGGAGCTACAACATGGTTCTGGGGGGTAGCAGAAGCCACATGGTTTGTTATGCTTCTCGGCTCATATAACCAAACCCTTGGCTGATGATACACATTCAGTTGGAAGAAAACCTTGTGTACAAGTGAAAATCAGCTCTTATTTTTGGTCCTCTTTCTGATCTTGCTAGGGTGTATTCTCTTCCTTAGTTGTATAATTGCGTAGTATTTTCTGAATCTTGGAGTGCTTTGGGAACACCTGGAGATTTCAAAGGACATTATCATCTTACACTGGCAGCTGGTTACTTTCTGGGAGAGTTTTCAGCCCAGGTGTTTTGGTGGTCAGGGCTGGGATGAATAAGGAATATTCTTGTTCTGCAAATAGTGGAGCTTGTGGCAAAAATGGGTAGGACGGATGGCATTTGGCCCTTCCTGCGTTTTACAGATATCATGGGTTTACACTGTGTAAGCACGCTGGACATGGCAGTGGTGGCACTTGAGCATCTGTTGTGGTAGCAGTAACTAATCTGTTCTTAAGTCTTCAGCTGTATTTGGATTTTACGTAGATGTTTTCCTTTGTAGAGGTTTTTTTTAAAATTTTTGTCAATTCAAACTGTTTTCCAGTATATGTTAGTTAACATTTGTTGTCTGCACAAATTATGTTATCAGACACACTGATTTCCCCATTTGTTTATTCAGAACTTGGCTTGGTGTTCTCATAACAGTATACCAACTTGGTCAAGCACTTATTTATTATTTTTCTTTTTTTCCCCTCCTCTAGAATCCAGCGACTATTACTCGAATACTGCTTAGCCATTTCAACTGGGATAAAGAGAAGCTGATGGAGAGGTAAGCAGCCATTTTAGGATGCAGCCACAATTTTGCTTTGGACCTGCAAGAAATGTTTGTTACCGGATGAATGTTAGAATGGATGAATGCACAGTATGTGGAAGGAGGCTCTCTTGTGTAAGCTCTAAATCTTCTACCTTTAGCGGCCTTTACCAGCTAAGAGTGACTCCTTGTTTTAATGCTATTAATACCTATTAGACTTCAGAGAAGCTTTGGAAGTTAATTTCCCCTTGGAGGAAGGAGTGCCTTCCAGTTTGAACACATACAGGCACAGGATTTTCACAGGCTCTGGAAAAAAGCAAGCAGGAACAGGTTCCTGTTATCTTGTAGCTGTTTTGGATTTGGATTTAGCTGCTCTTGCATGTCATTCTAGCGTGTGTATTCCTGACATGTTTGTTTGTTAGTCTTGCCGAGACTATATCGTTCTTGACCGATCAAGGGTACTGGTAAAGTGAATCTGCCTTCATCTTGGCAGCTCCAGGTTTTCTTTAGTGTGTGTGTGTGTATAGGGGCTTAGTGGTTGTTATAGGCAGTATAGGGGCTTAGTGGTTGTTATGGTCTTTGCTGGTGGCAACAACTATAAAGAGATACCAGTGGTTGGGGGTTAGGGCAGAAGTACTCTGTGCCTGGTGCTGAGTTTTCTCTTGGTTACCATTTCCTTTGCCCGATGATCAGGGTATGAGAAGACAGGATGCTCTGTAAAACCATGGGCAGAAACAACCGTTGGTAGTACTGTTGAGTTGATGAATGCCTGTTAACAGCCCAGAGGTGCTCTGTGCTGGGGGCTGAGCCCGTGTAGGATCATGCAGGGTGCAAGCATGGAAGAGCAACAGATTTTCAGTCTGCTAGTAGATAATTTTGGAGCTTAAATATTTCCACTCTCCTGGGATAATGGATTTAGGACACCTTTAGCTCCCTTTGTGTAACATTTTCAGTTAGTGACGGCGCTCAGGTATCTCTCTTATGTTTTGTTTGGCCTAGATTTTTTTTTTTCTGAAGTGACTGTATTTTTTTAAAGCTTCCTAGTCTTTGCTTTATTTTGCTGAGATTGACCTCTTTTAGTTAATGTTGGAAGTGTGAAAGCTTTGTTACAAATATAGTCGCATTGAGGCGATTTAACTCTGACTACAGCTGTTAAGGATTCTGATGTAGTTCCTTCTCTCTAATGTGTGTCTGTTCACTTCTGTGTTTGATTTTTCTTGTGCTGGTTCTTTTGGTCAGGCTGCAGTTCACTCTTCTTGACTCTCTCCATCTCACTTTGAGGTACCTCTGCTTAAGTGTACTAAAGTGTCATCCCATTATTCAATAGTTTTTTTTCCCCTCCTCACTGAAAGCTTGTTTGTTAAAACTTCCATCAATTAAAAAAAAATTAAAAAAATACTGGGCTGTGGGTTTTTTCAAAGGGGAAGGTGTCAGCCACTTCTATGTGAGGCGTTATTGTTAAGGCTTTTACAGTTTCCAAGCAAAACACTTTAAGTACATGTAAATATTTACAAAGTCCACAGGTAAACATTTACTCTTGGTACATATTCATTAAAATACTTACCATAATTCTATAGGACTACCCCTGTGAGTAATGTAATACGTGACCCTTGCTCATGCAGACCTATTGCACCCTAGTTAGTTTGGGTGCTGATGTGCTGTTGTATTAGAAAAATATCAAAACATTTTTCTCAAGTAGCTGGTGCTACTTTCTGTCATTTTGTCACCAAATAGCTTCCACAAAGCCCTTTGCAGCGGTCTGCTGATGCTCAGCTGGGTTAAAGCAGAGACGAAGGCAAGGGTGGGAGGCAGGTGGACACTTCAGTAGCCAGGATGCAAAATGGTCAGTCTGAAATGGTGATAGAGCTGGAAATGATGCCTTGAGCTAGCCACAGATCACATTGTTGTGCTAAAATAGAGGTGGTTCTCATTCAGACGAAAGTGATGAGCTGATTAAGCCCAAATTTAGACTGGGTTATGCTTCTGTAACAGAGATCGCTTTGAGACTTGCTTGGCTGTGTGTGTTTCCAACAAACCTTGCAGCATTGTGCTAGTGTAAACGAGCTGAAAAACACTGGGAAGCATTCATGGTGGAGAGGCATGCTCTAATCAGGCAAGAAATTAAATTTAAATGCTACTTTTTTTTTAAAGGGGAAAACCCCCAAACTTTTTACTTGAAAATAGCACTGTCTGTTCCCTGTGTCTTCAGCATCTGACCCAAAAAAAGTCTTATGTCTGAAATCTCCAGCTTGCTAATAGCTAAACTTATGTGCTGGCTCGCCCCCGTCGGTGGGCACCCAATGCTGTGTGGGCTAAACCCAGGCAGAGTCTGGCCTGGGGCTTGTGCTCGGGCTGGGGAGCCGGTGGGTGACTGCTGCTGTTGCACTGCTCGTGGGCAACCAGTGAAAGTGCTCACACGCAGCGCTCTTTCATGCTGAGTGAGTCCACCTTCTGCAACAGTTTTTTTGCTAGGGGACTCTTACTTTAAACACTTGAACTGGTGTAAATTTGGCCTTTTACTCCTAATAACCATTAGAAAGACTTCCCAGAAAATTCCTGTTGTTGCCTCCAGTCTGGATGTGTCTAATGTGTAATGTTTGGGTGCAATTTTTGGTGCTTGATTTCACACCAAGTCAGAGCTTGAACTCAGTTGCTTAATGGTGTGTATTTACCTCACCAGTGTCCGTTTTACCTTAATTCATCATGAGTCAGCATGATCAAACTTCGCCTGTAGTACACCAGATAAAGTGGCTTCTTTTTTGAGAAGTGAGTGTGATGAGGTCTGAGCTTGAGAAGAAAATTTCCACATTTTAGAACATGAAAACATCTTCATTGCTTTTGTGTATTGTTATGTATATTTTTAATAAGCAGGTTACTGTCTGTGCCAGCCTTGTCGTGGAATAATTGCATGGTGCTATTAAGAGGGGTAGATATGTTAGAGGAATTTATTCCACTTACAATGGAGTAATACCCACAATTGAATAAGTGCCCTATCCACTGGTGAAACATTAATTATTTGACTGTGTCCAAAAGCAAAGTTATTGTTTTGGGGTGGGCTTGTTTGAATGATGGAAGTGGGTGCTGGAGGAAGTACTTGAGTTCAGCTTCTGATGTGCTGCATGCATTTTGGAGAATAAAGATGTTAAATACTATGTTTTCCTCTTTGTCTCACAAGCTTGGTTAATAGAGGCAGGAGACTAGCAGGTGCAGATCAACCAGAGAACCTCAGAATTAAGTGAAGGAAGTGCTTTAGCCTGTAATGTTATCTTGATTACCTTCAAATTTTACTATGGCTGGTGGTGTCTGTCCCTTCTGAGGGGAACTTTGGGGACGAATCTGTTCATGATGAAGAGACTAAAATGCAGCTCTCCCACTTCATGTGCCTTCTCCTGGGCACTTTTTAAAACGAATAGTAGTTCAGCGTGTAGCCAAAGGTCCAGATTAATCCCTGGAGGTACAGAGAGAGGTCTTGCAGTCCGTTGTAGGTGCTTATCTCGCTGGCCTCATGTTCGCCTTCCCTCTGAGCAGACGATGGATGCCAGGACGGCCCTGGTGGCTTGGCTGCTAGCCCATATTGCCTCTTCCTTGTGCATTCAAGGTCTGACTCCTCTCTGTAGGTACCTGGTCGTGTGCTTTCCTTTGGGCAAATAAGTGCTTAACACTAGTCAGCAGAGGCTGAACAGGTGAAAAATTTGTATGGCAGAGTTTTTGGTATGAGGATATCTTCTACTGCAAATATGGTGATTATGTGACGTTCACAAATGCTCTTTCACCAAAGTAAGTATCCCAAAGTGTCCAGTAGAAGCTTTTTTTCCCCAGTGAAAAGGCTTTTTATCTTTGGTACTCCCTTGGATAGGATTCGATTATGTCTAGAAAATTGTGATTAGGCTGTTACTAACAGCAGGAAGAAATCTTGAGGAAATAAGGAAGCTGACAGCTTGATCCCCCTGCCAAAAAGATTTGATGCATTTGGTCCTCAGGGGAAGTGCAGGTGAGTTTGTAGTGAAATCTCCAACTGAGATTGCATTTGTTTTCGCCTCCTTTGGTTCAAGGAGGATGAATGGAAATGGAAACCAGTGGTTGAGAAGGTTTGCTGGGACAAGGAAGTGGAGAAATGTTGTGTGAGATGATCTGCTGTGTTGGGAAAGGGTGCTACAGCTGCTGCCTGTGAATCCTTTGATGGAAGAACATGGGAAGAGCAGAGGGAGATCTGCTTGAATGAATGGTCTGTGTTGATGCTTAAACAGTGGAAAAAAGGTGTGGTAATAGGAATTACGAGTACTTCCTAACCATTGAAGGAACTGGAACAGTGTTTTGGCTGGGCCCTTGGGTATTTGTGTAAGAAGTGGTGGAGCAGCTAGAGAGGCGTTGCACTTTACTCTGCAGTACCCTTGCAACTGTGTGTTTTCAGAGATCCAGGCTTTCTTCTGCATTTTCTAGAATTCATATTTTCTTACTGACCAGTGACAGCAAGACTCTGAAACACGTATATATAAACAGTTGTGGAAATTACTTGGTCAGTGCATCCTGGCACAGCAAAGAAAGCAAATGCATTTAAAGAAAACAGCATGGGGAAGGAGGAATACCCAACACCCTGTTTCTCCTCAACACTGGTGAGGTTTACAAGTGGCAGTCCCAAAGAGGAGAGTGAATACTGTAAGAATTAAGAGTGCAGCAGAGTTAAAAGGCAAAACTTAGTCTTTTTTCTTAGATTCTTCTCCGTCCTCTGCGTGGCCCTGGCTGAGAGCCTCAGCTGTCTCATTTGCTCCTCCTCTGTAAGTGTAGGAGAAACCAGGCACTTCTGAGATGGAAACCATTTCATATGAGCTGTGACTTACCAAAATGTAAGCACCTGCATGCTTTGTGGTATATTGGCGCTTTGGAAATGTTTAAACTGGGTGAGGACTCCAAGCTACGTGTCTTACTTCTAGCCTTTAGCCCCAAGAAACACACAATGTCAAATCACTTATTTTTTGTGTCTGTTACTGGGAAACTACTGAAAGCCTGGGTAGGAAACGGTTGTTTTGAATTAGTTACCCGTTGGTATTTAGAGGGAATAGGTAAAAAGGAATAGGTGAAAAGCAGTTGCTGGTGACTTTCTGTCCATATTTCTTGGTGTAGGGCAGTAGGTGTCATGGCTCAGAAGAATAACTTCTGCAGAGATTTTGTAAAAAGTAGAACTGGCTGGTGCAAGTGGTGAAGTCAAATTCCTGATGTGGATATGCACCCTTAAAAACAGCCCACCATGACAAGTATCTCTGGTATTTCCATAAGTATTTAGCTGACCATGAATGCCGGTATTAAAGTTGCATCATAGCATTTGTCTTCAAAACTATTTTCTTTGCAAACATCACACCCAACTCTTTGTCTGCTCTTTTTAAACGGAGGATGTCCTACACTGATCGTGCTGTGTGTAAGAACAATTTGAAGGCTGGAAACATTTTGTGAAGTTAATATTTATCTATGACTCTTTAATAAACACATACTGCCTATAATGGGACTGCACTGGATTCACTTGCTAAAATTTTATACATATAAGTAATCCTGAAGGCAAATAACTTGGTTGCGTTAAATCCCTGAGCTAACATTGAAGAACAGTGGCAAAGCCTCGTGTACACTGCAATGCCAGAAGTCACCACTACCCTCAAAGTTCAGCATCTTGAAAATTAAGATCTAAAGTGTGTGAGCTGCATTAAGAAACATATGAACCAGCAGTGAAATTAACCCTTTTAAACTGTAAGTCAAGTCTTGTCGGTAGGTAGTGCTGCAAGAGAGCTGCTATGGATTTGGGACTTTTTGGGAATACTGCGGGATAAGACGATCTAGCCAGAGGCATTGTGCTTAGATGTTGTATACCAGGCCTAGTCCCACATTTTGGAGACACACCTAGTAACTTCTTTCCCCAGCAGAAAGTCTTGGTTCTCTTCTATCTGTTGGTGGACAGCAGATTTTTTTTTTCATTCTGTTTTGTGATTAGCTTAAATGTATGCCTTGTAAGGATTCTAACTTCAGCCTTGCCTGCTTGCTTAGCTCCAGGGACAGTCGTGTGCTGGGAGTAAATTCGATGGCCTTAAATGTGACTGCGGTATGGTCAAATGTGTTTTGTGGGGTTGTTTCCTCCCTCATGGTGGATTCCACCTTGTTTGGATTTAACTTGCTGGTGAGGGGGAGGGGAATGACTGGTTTGCTGACGTTGAGTGGGGATGTACATGTAGGCAAGGTTAGCTGGTTAATTATCAGATTTGATTAGCTCTTTGCAGCTGCTGCAGGCTGGAGAAAGATATGTGGTGTCTTGATAGTGGATACAGGCTGACTTGCCTACTAATGGTTCTTTCAAAACTGGCCCTCCTCACCAAGCTGAAGAGCTTTCTGTAAGACTGTAACCCAAACCTATTTTTTTTTCTTAAGGGAACAGGAAATAGAAAGTGGTCTTTCATCTCCTCCCAACCAATTTTGCATCCCCCCTTCTGTGAGATATCAAATCTTTGGAAGCACTGCAAACTTGGAATTGGATTTTCTTAGGAGGTTGTTAAAATATCTCAGGTTGACTTGAAACAGAAAGATACTGAAATGGCTAGGATTTTTGGCCCAAGTAGTAGACTGTGCAGGCTTTGGACATGGGCAAGGTGTTTAGTGTGAAATTGGACTAGTCGAACTGGCGATCAGAGTCCAGACCTAGCAGCAGTTGTTCCCAAGCTCTGGAGGCGCCTGAAGTGTTTGAAGCACAGTGCTGCAGTTGCCTTAATTGGGGATTGGTAGCCATGTGTAAGTGCTCTGTCAGCTGAACCGAGTATCTGACCTGGCTGACGCATTGCTCCTTAGAGCGGAGAAGGAAGAGCCAAAATTGAAGTCAAGACCTCTTTGGGGCACACTTAATGTAGACTGAGTACACAGAGGAAAATGTGAAGTACAGGAACTAGGGACCTGCTGAATCACGAACCATGTCTGTTTGCTGCTTCCTGCCTCCTCTTTAATGTTTCAGTCATTAGAATATTAGGGGAAAATGGAAGGCTTAAGCTGAAAAGAGAATTGAACCTGTGGGCGTCAAACCTGTGCTTTAGGAAGGTGTCTTGATGCCTGGACTGTGAATTAAGACGTTCTTGCTTCAGTTTCCTGTCCTGGAGCTTTAATGCAAAGAAATCACTGTGGAGAATCATGAATTACTTGAAATGCAGCTGAAGAACTGAAGGTGCCTGAATTTTCGGGGATGTGCAGTTTGGGCCTAAATCTCTGAAACGATGTAGTTGTCCAATATTCACCTCTATAATCAGGGCTGTGTTGTGTTTTGTTCACAGAATCACAGAATGTTAGGGGTTGGAAGGGACCTCTGTGGGTCACCCAGTCCAACCACCCTGCCGAAGCAGGGTCACCCAGAGCAGGCTGCACAGGACTGCGTCCAAGCGGGTCTTGAATATCTCCAGAGAAGGAGACTCCACAGCGTCCCTGGGCAGCCTGTGCCAGGGCTCCATCACCCTCACAGTGAAGAAGTTCTTCCTCATATTTAGGCGGAACTTCCTCTGCTTCAGTTTGTGCCCGTTGTCCCTTGTGCTGTCACTGGGCACCACTGGAAAGAGCCTGGCCCCATCACCCTGACACCCACCCTGCAGATATTTATAAGCATTTATGAGGTCCCCTCTCAGCCTTCTCTTCTCCAGGCTGAACAAGCCCAGCTCCCTCAGCCTCTCCTCGTAGGAGAGATGCTCCAGTCCCCTCATCATCCTTGTAGCCCTGGATGTTACTGAAGAGTTTGTTAAAAGTTGTGGGTGTGTGAGCTTTTTGAAGTATTAAAACCAACTCAGTACATTCAACTTCCAAATAGAAATTGAAAAATGACTTACAGGGGAGGTAGTTAATTTTTCATTCTCTTGTGTGTGTTATGCAGGTACTTTGATGGCAACTTGGAGAAGCTCTTTGCAGAGTGTCATGTAATTAATCCAAGTAAAAAATCTCGAACACGCCAGATGAACACAAGGTCATCAGCCCAGGATATGCCTTGTCAGATCTGCTATCTGAACTACCCAAACTCGGTGAGTACCTGGCAGCCAAGGTCGGATCTGACCGATAGCTCTCCCAGCTTTGCTGTCTGAAACTTAATATTGGGGGCAGATGTCTTTAAGGCTTCTCTAACAGTATTTTAAAAAAGCCTTTGAAATAAAACTGAGATTTCACTTTTTTCATTGAACCTTCTAATCTGTAGTATAGGTGTTAAAAAAAGTGTTCAAGATTGCTTCTTAATGCAATAAATGTTGTCTTCTGTGCTGGAGCTGATCCAGGTGGTGCGGTGGGGGACCACAGAATTACATAGTGCTTTATGTGTTCTCTTTAAATCTTCCTGTGTGATTTGACAAACTTTTTTTTTTTTAAACAAACCTCAAATAGTTATTAGCTTACCTGAAATGAGTTTGTATTTCAAATGGAATGATTATCCCTTCTGCAAAAGCTTCTGAGGATGCTGGGGTCTGGGGAGCAGTGTAGTAAAGTTCTTTAGAAAACAGCAAGCAGTAAATAATTTGATTTTTTTTTTTTTACAAAGGTCAGATACCAATTGAGACATGCAAATAAATGATACATGAAAGAAAAAGTATATGGAAAGCATGACAGACAAAGGGATTTACTTAAATAGAATGGCAAGACAGGAAACATCTTATAGAAGTAGTAAATAATAATGCAAAATAGTCAAGCTAGACAGCCTGGAATAAAACTGAGTAGGAGTAGAAGTAAAACAAAGTTGTGCTGTTTGGAGAACACAACGTACGTGGATATCCATGGATCTTTATCATGTTTGTGCAATACCTTCTTAATTGGAGAAGATTGGGGTGGAAGTGCTTGCTGGGGCTCTAAATCAGTGTTCAGGTTTGTGGGAAGACTGGTGATGGTGCTTCTCTTCTTTTGTAGCTGTTCACAAATACTAAACTTTCTGATCCACTAATCAGAGGTCCAGACTTCTGCTGTGTTTTGGACAGACGAGCGACTTGCTCTGACTTTCTAGGGGCAGGACATACTGTTGGGAGATCCTGGAAGAGAATGAGATTAGTGGAGAAAAACCTGAGAGCCTATCTGTGGCTTTGCCAAAAGGCAGGGTGCTGACACACGAAAGAATTCTTCCTTTATTGCAGCCTGCTGTTCCTGGTAGAGCTGTCCTGACCCTCCAAAACACCGTAACCTTTAAAAAGCAAAGCAGCCCTTACGTAAGCTTTCCACTCTTGCTCTGGGTGTGTTTTGTGAGCTTGCTTTTCACCAGGAATGGAAACCATTACAAGCTTTGGGTTTTATCAGTGTCTGTGATTAAAGTACCCTTGCTGCTGTAGGCTGACTGCAAGCCTCTTCCTTGCTCTGGAGCAGGCGGAGCAGCGCAAAGCCCAGTTTCAGGGAGCTGACGTTCTCAGTGTTAAGATCAGTATTGCCCTTGAGCCAGTAACCACAAGACTTTGTGCATCTACTTTTAAGCCTTGTGTGCGCTGACTTTCTTTTTAGAGAATAGCTGCAAAGGAGAATTGTTGCTTGCTTTGCGTGAAGTGCTTTTTCGAAAGAAAGCAAGCTTGGGAAATGTGTTTGGCCATCTACCTTATGCTAACACCCTATTGTTTAATCACTGCAGACTTTCCATGTTGGGTAGTAAGGAAATAATTTTGATTTTTATCTCCAGAAAAGTTGTTCTTGGAAACTTCAAATCTAGGTTTCATATTTGTTTTCACACTTCTTGGTGTAGTTGGTGCGCTGGGTGGGAACAATGTGCCCAGCACTCATGACTGACAGGCCTTTCCTCTGGCTGGAGGTACATGTGCTGCCTGGGAAGCAGCTTTCTGGCTGCTCGAAAGAGCTGCACAAAGCACACTAATACGTCTTATTTTTGTAGTTCGAATAGCACGTTAAAAATAGTAGTGGCGTGTTTATTAGAAGAGCAGTTTCTTAGCCGGAACAGTGAGATGTTGCAAGTGAACAGAGTTGTCTCTAAATTGTTGGCGTTGATTAAGAAGTGATGTTCAATACCTAACCTAAAATCTCAGCCTTTAAATAGTCTTGTGATGGTGAGCTTCGCGCCCCGCCTGCCCCCCGCTGTGTTTTTTTGAGAGCCCCTTTCAGCCTACGGAAAGCTGGGAGTTTGGAGCAGCACCTGCTAAGAGTTTTGACAATGTCCAGCTAGTACAGGAGTGTAAGCATCTGGAATATTCACCCTCTTATGGGCTTATTGCAGATGGTATTTGTCTGCCTTTTAAAGCACATGTAAGGCCAAATATAGAGTCTTCATAGCTATTTCGTCATCTCCAAAGAACTAGGATTTGAGGTTGTGGGAAGGACCTGCAAAACAAGGCATCTGACGCTCTCAAGGGCGGCCTGGCCCTTGAGATAAAGGGAGACACTTCAGTCCCTCTGGGTCCCCTTGAACCTGTGTCAAGTCCCAGTAGTTATTTTGGGCAAAACCCTAAATGGTGAAAACAGGACTTGAGAGGATCATGGCTTTTCCCACCTCCTCTTGCGTCTCACCCTTCAGGTCCTGTTTGAGAGGAAGGCTGCTGGGGTGAGGGTGTTGGAGAAACATCGTGCTGTTGTCCAGACTGTTTGTTCTAAGGACGCGTTAATACTTTGTCTGTACCATCGTTATTACTGAAGTAAAGAAAGCCTGAGTGAGGCTGTCATGGTAAACACGTCTTTGAGCAGCTGATCCCTTCTTTGATCAATGTGATGCTACAAGAAGAGCAGGGACAGGTATCGAATGGCAGCATGCTGCTGCTAGCACTTGGTGTCACAAGAAAAGTAGGTGATGAGTATAGATAGGGTGAAAGTAGAGCTGTCCCCTGTGATACCGTGCTGTTTCAGAAGTCAGTTACCGTTTATACTTGGTGATTTTACGTTGGCCTGTTTGCTTGCTCCCTTGACACCTGCTGTCAGCTGAGCCAAAAATAGTTGGGAACTCCCTCAAAGTAAAGAAATGAGTTGAAAGATACTCTGAATTCTTTGCAGCCTGGGAGGAATCATGGTGGCTGCCTTTTATGTGGGCATTTAGCAAATATTGTCACTGCCTGAAATAAGTGAAATGAGTCTTAAATGAAGATGTGTACTTACTTAATGTTGTGTAGTGCTTCCCTGTGTGTGCTTGCTGCAGGAGTATTTAGGTTCATTAAGGGATGACCCCTTGTCCATGCTTCTGTCTCACTGCATGGGGAGAGGCCGTAATGCTGGGAGAGGTCAGTGCTGTGTGCTTATGGCATCCCGAAAGTTACAGGTGGGCTTTTCTGTCATAACCCTGCATCTCCAGGGGATGTCACTTGGCTACAGCAGCATCTGTGGAGCACCAGATGCCTTGTTAGCTGGCCCAATCGTGGTTCAAAAATTGGAAGGTATTTTTTTCAGTCTTGGAGTTGGTGTACCTGGGCACCCTGTAGCTGTCAGCCTCCTCTCTCCTTGGGCCATGGTGCTGATAGGACACACCACTGATTTCTTTTGTTCCAAAGAAAGTGAAGATTTGGGTGGGTATCTCTTTTTTTATATGGAATGAAGTCAGATGCGTAGCTCACTTCTCACTGACTGGTCAGGTCAGCTTTCACTGCCTTCCTGCTCCTGGTAAGTGCTCTCTGGCAGGGCTGTGGGAGCAGCAGGCAGTCGAGCCCGCTGGCTGCGGCATCGTAGCACGTTTCCAAGCCTCAGGTTCAAACCTGTGCCTCCGTTGATGGCAGGAGTGCCAGATGAGTGTGAATCACAAAATGGGGAGGCCGTGGGAAGAACATGCTAAAGATCATCTTCCCAGTGCAATCCGAGTGCTGTAGCATTGAAAGATGAGCATAACCTAGGTAATACGTCAGTGTTGGATGAACAAAACAGGCCGTGTTGTAGCTGTAATCTTGAGTCTCTAATGGTCAAGGAGACAGTTTGGGAAGAACATTGTATTCTTAAAATGGATACTCTCCTTTTCTTAATTACCAGCATCCTGCTGCTGTTTCAGGCTGTTCTGCAGAGGATACGAGGTTTCTTTCGTTTGTGGAGTTTCATCAAGTTGATGCTGTTTCAGGGTGGAGCTCTTTGGTTTATTGTACTGTCTGAGAATAGGATGGTTTCAAAAGCTAAGCCATCAAATAGTAACCTGCACAGCGGTATGAGTGAACTGTTTTAAATATAGTTTGTCCTTGCTCCTGGCTCTGGGTATAAAATAGCTTTAAGATGACCTGAGAAAAGTAACTTAATTTCGGTCTTTCCTCAGCAGTGTTTGCTTCTCCACCCCTTGTGTAACCATTCAATCCCAGATGGTATCATGACGTACTCTGTGTAGATGATGCATACACAGGTGAAGTTGTCCTTGTTGCTGTCTGCAACAGCTAATCATTAATGAATTTTGTTTAATTTACACCTGCCAATTAGGATCTTTACTATCCACATCTGATGAGCATCTGGGTTTCAGGGGGAAGTTTACCAAGCAAGTTGGCAATCTTTATGCCTATGTGTTACAAGCAGAAGTGCACACAGTTTATTTCTGTTGTTTAGTCCTCACCCAGTAATGCAGACAGCTCGCTGATCACTTACTGTTTCTGTTCAAGAGAGCGCTAAATTAGTGCCTGTGCATAGCTGATGTGCATATTCTGGGACTTCTGGGCAGCACCCACATGTGGTAGCAAGCCAAGTGGAAAAATAGGAGGAAAGACAACTCCGTATCATCTTATGACTGTGACCTGTTTGGTGTTGTGTTTAATTTACTCTTTTGCAAAACAGGGGAGAGCCATGCTGTACTGTGTATGTACTCCTAAACCATAGATCAATTGAAATGGGCAGGCAGGATGGAAACATCAGCCACACCTTTTCTTGCTTGCTAGGGATTAAAGTCTGGCTTCGACAACGTGACTAAAGCTGCATTGGCAATGTTCTGTAGTGGTTATGATGCAAAATAAATAGTAGTGTCTCAAGTCTGGTGTGGGGGATGAGAGTTGTGATTAAACTGCACAGCACCAAGAAGGGCGAAATGATCGAGTGAATCCATGTGATAAAATGATCCAATGTCTTGTTCTCTTTGTCATTGCAGTACTTTACTGGCCTAGAGTGTGGACACAAGTTCTGTATGCAGTGTTGGAGTGAATATTTAACTACCAAAATAATGGAGGAAGGCATGGGACAGGTAAAATGTCAACTCACCCACCTCATGCCTTATTTCTGGAAATTCTGTGTGTTGGAGAAGGGGAAAGAAAGGGGAGAATTCTTCCCCACTGAAGTTAAACAAAAACACCCACCACCACCAAAAAACCCACAGCAAAAACCAACCTCAAAATAAAAACAAACAAAAATTCAAACCCCAGAGCTTTGTGGGTTGCAGTCTTTGCCGCGGATGAAGCTGAAGGGGAATTACGTGGAGTTAGTGTATGCATCTTTGCTCTGGGTGGGAGGAATCGTGCTGTGCACAGTGACACATCGGGGATGTGATGAGAGCCCCAGTGTACTGTTTTTGTTGTGGATTGTAGTGAAGTCTGTTGCCTTGGAATTCTTCGTGATGCAAAAATAGGATAAACACTGTTCCTGTTATGACCTTTTCGTTTTTTTTCAGACCATTTCATGCCCTGCTCATGGCTGTGATATCTTAGTCGATGACAATACAGTTATGTAAGTATGATGAGTTGCTACCTCTTGGCTTTCCTCTTTTTCCATTTTGTTACTCATGTTCTATTCAAATATCCTGGCTTATAAAAGAACTGCATAGAGGCTTTAGGGCAGCAGGGAGGTTGGTTCTGAGCTGTCTATTTTGATACTGGTATGTCTCTTGACTTCCTGTTTAGCTCCGAGAAATCCGTGCCACAGTACTTGAAGGAAAGACTCCTTGACCAATTTAGTCAGCATGACAGGAGAATAAACACCAGACGGTCTTTCCAAACCCTGTGTAACTGCTTTGTGCATTTTGTTTTCTTTGATTTACATAGCAATTTAGGACTTCTTCCATAAGCCAACCCACTGGTTCACCAAGTCTCATAGCTATAGTCAATAGGTGAGTCAGAGGAAAGAAGTCCTGTGTACAGTCTGATGTAGGGCGTGTTTTATGCCCTCTGATAGAAAGCAGTTTGCCCTCAAACACAAGATTCGATGAAGCCGGTATGCCAGCCAGTGTCACTTGGCTTATTAAGTTGTCCAGCTGTAGAATGGCTGCCCGTACATGATGGAGCCATGAATTCCATGAGCTTCCTTCTCTTTTATATTGGGTGGTGTTACTGCATGAGCAACATCCTTCATAATTCTGAACCTTGATTAAGCTCATTTAATTCTTCATGCTAAAAAGCGTCTAAATAGAAGCTTATTCTGTTACCTTATTCCTTCCTTCCTGAAGTCTGACTCACTCATTGATATTAATTTGCAGGTTTTTATGTCAGTTGCTTTCAGACTACTGATTTCCCATATCCCTCTGCATTGGTGGCTCTGTTAGTCATGAAGTGTAGGCTGGATAGAAGTGGAAGTAGCTGAAATGTTTTCTTGCTCTGCGAGGTGGCTTATAGAGTCCAGTGAGTAGAAACTGAACTGAAGTTGGCGTAATATCTTGAGTGACTTGGTTGAGATTTTTTTGTTTACCAGAGTCTGAACTCAACTTGTGGTATGGCATACTCACCAGGAAGTTTAAGTGTTTTCTTGTTTGCAACAGTTCGTATAAGGTGTTCAGGTACTGTATGTGAAGTAGACTATCTGCAGTCGTTGGAGGCTGTGGTGGTAGCGGTAAGGAAGGAAAGGATGGAAGGAGAGCAGTGCTGGCTTTTGTTGCTATGGCTTCTGTTGCTATTGCTTGATATTAGTAGTATGTCTGACTGTGCTTATGTTTCCCTTCGTGGCTTTTATAGCACAGAAACCCGTGACACTGGGGTAAATCTGTGAAGTCCAACTCGCATCATGTGCAGTGGGATTTCCCTCCCACCTAGCAATGGCAGAGATATCTTGGGCCTACAACAATAAAATGGCATCTAGGTGGTAAAGCAAACAAGTTCTCTTTGTCTAAGTAAAACTATAAATGTTTTGCGGAGCTAAAAATCCACCTTTCCCTGATCTTGCGGGGGAATGTGTGGGAGAAGGAGGTGCATTTTTTTGGCAAAAACCTAGTGCTTTCCTTTAAAAGCAAAGATGGACAGCTGTGGCAATCTTATGACATGGCATGAATAAAGACGTAAGTAATTCCAGCTGAAATTTGCACCCCCTCTCATGTCCTTAATTATTCTCTGTTTAGGCCTTTTTTTTACAAAGTCTCCAACTCTAGGTTTCCAAGTTATAGGAACTTGAGATTAATGTGCAGTGTGTAGAGACATGAGTTTCTTTATCCATCAGAAAATCAAAGTAGACAGGCCAAGTTGTTATTAATTTGCTCTCTTCTTGGTACTTGCCCTTAGCAAGACAGTGTATCTCCAAGGTGACTTATCTCCATACGAATCCAAACTTCACAATTCAGATGACTTTCTGGGAATTGTGAGTATTGAGCTAGCTTATTGTCAGCTTTCCTTGGTACTATTGAGCTTAAGTAGGAAGGTTGAAGAGAGGGTCCCTTTCAGCTCTTTCAAGACCTTCAGACTGGCTGAAGGTAATCTGTTTCTATCCGTTGTTCACCCTTGTTAAGGCTGCTGGTAATTGCTTTAACCTACATGCAAAGATGTTGATTTCATTAATAAGCAAGGCAGGCTGCCTTTATTACTGGTGTGTCTAACGGCCGCTGCTCGTGGGTGGCAGCAGTCGTAGGAACTTCTGAGAATCATCCCACTCAGTGGGAATGGATGGATTTTGGGTTTCCTCTATGGAAGTCGCATGAAGTGCTGCCTCATTTTTAATCTTCCTTTGCATAACTGCAAATGCCAGCGCCTCTGTGTCAGATCAGAACGAAGTAAGGTCTTGAAGCAGTTCCTTTGGGAGGATGTTTGACGTCTCACGATGTGCATTTTGCTAATTCCACTGATTTGTGTCTTTGAGGAGTTTGCATTATCAAAATGGAACAAAAGCGTAAAATTTATGGTCTGATAAAGGATTCCTCCTATCTTTGGATGAATTTTTGAGATTGTTCTGTGAACATGTCAGTGTGTTGTCCTGAACTTAGCTGACAGAAGAAATCAAGGGATGAGTTTTTTGTGAGCAGTTTGCTTTTTCCAGCCTGGTTTCTTTGAGGTTGCTTCTTTTATAGCTTGGCTCATAGAGGAATGGACTCCAAAGGTGATGGTTCATGGGCCCTGGGAATTGTTTTCATCTCTTAATTTGTCTAGTTTCATTCCATTGTATGTCAAAAGCTGGTAAGATTCAGAGCAGAGTTCTTTAAGGTCTTGACCTGAGTGGTGCTGGGGAAGTGCTGATGAACCTTGAGCAGGTGGGGTTGCTGACATGGAGTGATCATAGGCAGCTGGGTGAGCAAAAACCAGTGGACTGCATACCCCATGTGCTCTGGTTAGCTATGGCATTACTCTTTATTTAAATTCCAGTTCCTGATACGTATATGTGATACAATGCACTTTTAAAGTGACATTTATCATGGCTAGAAGATTTGGTATGGAGTAAGGAAGTGAGATTTGTAATGCATATTGTAAGTTCAAATTGTTTTTTCATTCTTCAGTAAGCTTCAGTCCAAAATTGCAGGCTTGCTGTGGACATGGGCCTGATGAGATGCTTTGTCAGCTGATTTGTTTTTAACATGGGGTATTTGGGTGCCGCGTGCATGTTTATGTAATAACCAGCATGTCGTTTGGTGAGGAGCTCCCCAGGCTGTTTAGAGCTAGGATTTATGCAACATCGCATCGTTTCATGGGCTGTTCTTTAATGAATGTTGGCATGATAACGTGCAGGATGACACTTGATTTTGGCTGCACCCTGAAATGGGTAATCTATTAATTTCAATATTTATATGTGGTATGGCCTGTACAAAGCTGTATTCCACAGATTGATTTAAAACAGAAACGCTGCAAAGTGCGGATTAGTCCAGCATTATATTTATATATGCAGAAGGCATTTCAGTCAAAATGAAAGATGTATATAAAAAGTGTTCAGCAATACATAATTACATTATTTAGAATGCATCTAGGCTGGACAGTCTGCAAATGACAGCTGGGTCAGTGTGTCCAGGAGAAAAGTGGTCACCATGCTTTTAAAGAATTCCTGTCTGTCTGGTTTCCTTCTGCTCGCCTGCTTCTGAGCTGACAGACTTAAAGTCAATGTTACGTACACCCTTTATGATGTTGAATTTAAATCAACTTTATTTGTATAGTTAATATATTAAAACCACACTAATGTTAAAACTGAAGCTGCAGCAGTTCATAGAAATTCAGATAACATTAGATCTACCAAAGTTCGTAACCACACAATAGTTGTTCTGGAGCTTTTTAAAGGGATTTATCACTGAATGTGCATATCTAATGTCAAAGAACTAATGAAATTGTTTGCTCTCTTTCTTGAGCTGTTCAGGAATGTATTTTTTAAACAAAAATAAATCCCCACATCAAGAGGTTCAGTTCTTTTGAACTGTATGAACTTTCTGTATGATTCTGAAGCTAGTATTAAGTTAAATACAATAGTTGTAGATGTCACAGTAATGTAATATAGTAAATAAATAGAGAACAGATGAGTACAAAAAAGAACAGGCATAGAAGGAAGCATCAAAATAATTTGTCTGCCTGAACTTACTGGCTACATATGGAAAAAATAGTTTTCTGCTACAATAATTTCTGTTTCTTTGCTTTCCACAGGCGTCTGATCACAGATTCTAAGGTTAAATTAAAGTACCAGCATTTAATAACCAATAGTTTTGTAGAGGTAAGTGTTTTATTTGAAGTTTTTAATGGTTTTAGGGTTTGTTTTGCACACGTACCAAACCAGAGAAGTGAGGCTTGTTTATAACTGTAGAGCAGGGTATTTTTGCATAGTGTCTAATCAAGTGTAACTACAAACTAGAGGCTTTGCAGGCATTATTTTATAGTCTGTTTAGTTACAGTAATAGTTGTAGGAAAATATTAAAAAAAAATAATCTGCAGGACAAAAGACCTGGAGGTAAACAGATGCCATTGGACGTAAAGCTGTAATATTGCTTTTAGCAAATACTAATAGCTTTGCAACTTCAAAATCAAAATAAACCTAGAGAAAGGTTCTTTGGAAGATTTTCCACTGTCCCAGTTTCCCAGTTGTATGTGTTCAAATTCACTGTAGAGCCCAGTGTAAGTCATTACTGGGATCAAACATTCACTCCTTTGAAGTGATACACAGAGTGATTTTTTTAGTGCACGCTGGAACTAAGCATGTGTCGCAGACGGGAAGACTCTCAAAAGTCTAGCAGTGCAGACCCACGCCTGGCTGCAGTACAGCAGGAACAGGCCATGAGGTGGTGTTCGAGGGGTGTTAGAAAGTGGTGCTTGTGAAAAGCTCGTGTGTGTGGTGTGAGCAATGTTTCAGAAAGCCTGTTGCAGCGGTGGAGCAGAGATGGGTTGTTGCAAACAACTTGACATGCTTTTTTCTGTGGAAAGCTTCATATTCTTCAAGTATTTCCTCTCGGTGAGCTGCGAGGTCAGCAGTAGTGTTTACGCTGCTCATCTTTCCTACGAGGCAAGTTGGTGACGAGTTGGCTCGTATTCCTGCTTGCTTTCAGTAGAAAGAAAGTAAATGCTTAGATTGAGGAAGCAGCACTCAGATTGCAGAGGACTGGTGAGGCTGGAAGAACTGTGACTGAAGGCCATGGTGGGAAGGATGAAAAACAGACGGAGGGCAGGTAGGGTCCTTGTGTGGCATCCTTTTTCTATTACGGTTTTTTGCTTTATTTCGTAGTGTAATCGACTGTTAAAATGGTGTCCTGCCCCAGATTGCCACCACGTTGTTAAAGTCCAGTATCCTGACGCTAAACCTGTTCGCTGCAAATGTGGACGTCAGTTTTGGTAAGAGCAATCACATAAGACACAGATACTGCTTTTTACTTACTACCTTGAATGTATGTTAGTATTTTTTTATGTGAGTCTGTATATTGGGATGTGGTTTAGATGGTGGGAGAAGCGTAGGGTGGGCTTCAGCTGGTAAGCCAGGATTAGGTACAACTGGTTGCAAAGCCTGTAACTATGTAGTTGTTGCTTTCTGTCTTTGGCCGTCTTTGACATAGAGACAGATCCAGCTTTCAGAGGGAAGGCCTTCACCTGAGTGGTTTCCAATTAGGTGAGGTTCTTGACTGTAGAGAATCAAAATGTATTGAGATCATATATTGCTCTGAAATGGTCATTGAAGGATTTGAGTGTTGGGGGTTTTATTACGTGTATGTTTCCTTGGGCCCGGCTTTGGCCTTTCAGCAGAACAACTCAGAAGAAAACTTCCACATCTTAATGATCTGCCCTATGTGCTTAATTTCCCCTTTCTTTCACTTACAGCTTTAACTGCGGTGAAAACTGGCATGATCCTGTTAAATGCAAGGTGAGCATGTCAAAGTTCTTTTCTAAGAGAAACTTTTTAAAAGTCCGTTTATGTGCAAGACATAGAAATGAAGCACAAGCTTTGTGGCTGTTCACATCAAGGAGCATTGTAGTTCACCTGTTTAGATCATAGCCTGAGAAGACTCAGGGAAATCATACTGGATGCCTTTAGGATGCTTCGAAGTTTGACTTCGTGAAGCAACAGTGGTTCAGCCAGATGGGGAAATGTCTGGGGGAGGCAGTTGTTGCAGCTGTGACCCTCTGAAGAGGAATGAAGGTGCTTCAGGAGTGAACGCTTCACTTGACAACAAGCATTCCTGTACTAGGAATTGCTGTAGTGCTCAGTGCTTCGGCAGCCTTGTGATTTGTTGGACTGAAGGAATTAATTCAGTCCTGGGACCTGCTGCTGTGCGGTGAACTTGAACTGGGCTGTTTTTTTTCATGAAACTGTCAGAAGCTGTAATGAAGCCTGGGATTCTGTGGCCTGTGCAGAGCTAGTGGACAGCTGGGTTTCATGCCTTCAGGACAGAGCAGTCTGCGTTCCTGGTGACGAATGCAGAAAAAAACATCCTTGGGAAGAGAGGAGGGAAACCTCACCGAAGGTTTAGCAGGGCTTATCTGGTCTTTCCAGGCTGGATATGGTCAGTTTATTATCTGACAGGTGCAAGCAGCCTTCTGCTCTTGTTACTTGTGTTCCTTTGACAAAGCCATGTTCTTGGTAGGATTTGGGGGTGGGGTGGGAGGGAAGAAGTGTAAGTTGAACATGAGTGAGCATTGCAAGCCAAAGGAAAAACTTGGCTTGATGTAAAGCTAGGTGTCACAGGGGGTCTGAGTGCAGTTTTGGCAGATCAGTGTTATAATGTCCTTAATATTTTAGAGTCCTATGTGAAGTTTGTGCTGGTTGAACTTAAGAACTGCAAACTCATTGCTGAAGTGTTTGTGTCGAGTGATCGCGCTCACTGGATCAGGATGGTGCTGCAGGAAATCTGCAACTAAACTAGTTGGTGTTTGCGATGCTTTCCAGCACCAGTGCCCCCCCCAGATTCCCATGTGGTTGTGTGTTCCCTGCCATTACCTTAATGTAAGCAGCTGTCTTGGGAACACTTACAGTTCCTGTCTTTAAATGTAACTCTCTCTTCGTTCTTCATTTTTGTAACAGTGGTTAAAGAAATGGATTAAGAAGTGTGATGATGACAGTGAAACTTCTAATTGGATTGCAGCGAACACAAAGGTGAGGGTTTTTTCTCAGTTTTGCATAATTTATCAGTGGAAAAGAAGAATGACAGCCTAATTCCTCTGCTCTAGGATTATTTTTTGTTGTGTGTCATTCCTTAAGAACAAGCCTTAAGATCCACAGTACACTGAAGTACTCTTGTTTGAAGAGCAAGTAGGTGTTACGGCCTTGGATCAGGTGAGGTTCTTTGGATTAAGTGGAGTTTGCCTTGTAAGAAAGAGTTAATCTGAGACCCAAAGAAAGCTCAAGTTTGAAGTCTTTGGGCTCCTGTCTGGTGCTGATGGCTTCCCTAAGCAAATCTGTGCCTCACTGCAAGTGTGTGAAACATGTTAACACCACCTGTGGCTTGATCTGGCTGTGATAATTTACATCTGCCTTTGAATCCCCTGGGCTGGCCTCTTGAGGAGTTGTTCATTTCCGCTGGGCAGGATTCCAGGTAGAGACTGGCAGAACAGCTGTTAAGATTTTATTATGTAAATGTCTTCATTCTAGCTAGCCCAACTTTGCCTGAAACTTCAGCATTCGTTCCATTTGGGATGAATTAAAACAAAGGTTGGCGTGGTGGCAAGAAAACAAAAGCAGCAGATGCTGGGGGTGTATGGGGGAGTGTGGTGGTGTTAGGAGCAGACCTGGGTCTCAGGACTGCTTAGCTGGGAGGGTGGAAGAAGGTGGGGAGGGTGTGAGGAAATGGCTGCTTTGTTTTCTTAGCTCTGTTGTGTAACTGGTTAATGGTATTGTTTGCAGCAGTGGCTGCTGCTTTCTGGGGCTGGCTGCGTGTTTTTCATTGAACTGGAATGTTGCAGTATGGTGAAAGCAGAAACACCCATTGTGGTGAAATGCGCAGTGAAAATCAGGCTGAAATTGTGCAGTCTCGGCTGCTTCTCTGTTCTGTGGGCTGAGACTTGTGTGGTCCCCGCTCGGAAGCTGAATGTTGTTCAGTAAAGTGAACTTGGCTTTTTCTGAGGTGTCTGTGTTCAAAGATGTATTGTGGCTCAAGAACTGAACCAGTTTTGTTCAAATCTTGCTTGGTCTTTAGGTATTGCTCCTATTAAACCTGAGGAAGAGTAGCCAAATAGCTTGGAAAGAACTGAGTGTAAGCACATGCAAAGCAGCTTTTAGGCTTGGGTATCAAATATTTGGATTGTCAGAATGGCCACAGCCCTATTTTTGCCTGTGACAAAGCCCTCAGGAGCTGGACGCGGAGCTGCTGCTGCCCCGCAGGGGTACAATATCAGTCATGGCTGCAGACTCCCCATCTTCTACCTGCCCCAACTTTGGCATGCGGTGCTAAAGACCAGGGTCTTAGTTCTCCATGCTGTTTTTTGTTACCATCAAATGTTAAGCTTTCCCTTACTGGATTCTGTGCTCGTTAAAAAGGCTGAAATGATATATGTGTATGTGTTGTGTAGATGAAACATGATTAATCTGCCACTAATGCTGGCTACTGGAAATAGAATTACAGAATTATTAAGGTTGGAAAAGACCTCTAAGATGATCAAGTCCAACTGTAGGAAGCTACTTGTCTCTTTTCAGACAGGAAGGTGATGGTTTTTGCAGCTTGCTTGCCTAAAGACTTAAATATAGACAAAAATATTAAAAAGGCGGTCATACTTTTCTTGTTTAACTGGGATGGAGACTTTGCCAGGTAGGAGCTGTGTGGTGGTTGGGCTGGTATTTAAAGCACAGCTCAAGCTGTCAGAAATAGCACTGAATGACCAGAGCAAGAAGTTTTGTGGGAAACACCCATCCAGAGGACAGTGAGGAGGGGAAATGAGCATGGCCAAGACATGATGGTGTCAGCCCAGCTTATCTGTTAGTGGCTGTAGTCTGGTGTCAGCAGCAGAAGAGCTGTTGTCCTTGAACATCCCTGTCTAAGCTACTTCCTCTAATACCATGCGAGATGCTCCTACAGCAAGAAAACGCTTTAGAGCCCAGGCTGTATGGTAGCAACAAGAAGAAAAATAACATCAGGGTAATTATACCAGATACTTGAGCAAGCCAGCTGTCCTGGAGTCTTATGGTATCCTTATCAATTAGGTTAACCGAAGGACAATATTACAATTCTTCTCTCTCCTAACTGATGCTAGATTCAATTGAGGAGAAAGTTGGCAGGAAATGTAACCCACCCCTCGTAATGATCTGTGCCTTCTTGTGGGCAGCGAAGATGTGGAAGCTGGTAATATCACACTGCTGTAGTGATGAAGCGTGAGCAGTACTGGCTGCTGGAACACGTGCAATCGGCGCTTCGCAGCCTCCGGAGAAGCGGATCAACCCAGAGCTGCAGGGCTGCCAGCCACCACCTCCTCTTGCCTGATTTGCCTGCTGGCCCTCGGCCAAAGGCATGGAGAAACCCAAGTGCCTATCTAACAGCGACACAGTCCTGCTGCTGTTCAGAGAGAAACCAAGTGAAATCCTTTTTTGCTGTAGCGTGAGGTTGTAGCGATACACTGGGATGGGCATTGCACAGTTGGAGTGCACGTACATCTGTCCTTATTCTGTCTCTGTACTATTCTTAGCAGGAATATAGGGCAGTTGTGTTTGGGGCGGGATGTCTTGTGCCTTCACAGCTATTGGCTTCAGTGACTGCAAGTCCGGAGCCCAAATTCTGGGTGGAATTTCTTTGTTTTGAAGAACCTAGAAGGAAATCGGATCAGGTACCATCAGGTGCAAAAAAAAAAAAAATCTGTGTTTTCAGTGGAAAAACTCTCCAAGTAATTTAATTGCTACTATAGTATCTGTTGCTGTTTCTAGCTTTTGAAAAGTGTTTTCTTGAGTCCTCCAAGCCTGATGCCGAACTGCAGTCCTGTCCTATGCGGTCTCAATTCAGAGAAGAAAATTTCCTCTCTTACCAAGATGAAGGTGTAAGAGAAAAACAGCAATCGTCTTGGAACGTGGGCTTGAAATCCGGGTAATCCTTCGCAACAGGAGAGTGAGAGATACATTTGTTCCAGCTTGCCCTGGGAGACAGAATAGGAAAAAAAAATTAGGCAGTTGTATGAGAGAATAGAAAGCTGTAACCCAGCTGAATGGGTTTCTGTTCATAGACTGGAGTGATGTGATGCATTTTTGGATGAATTATGTAGAATGGTCTGAATGAAGAACGAGGAGATTTGAGTAGTGAGTTCTGTGGATTTTGTATTCGTTTATTTGCACTTAGGAGACCTGCACTAAATTGTTTCTACTTACACAAAAGATATGGCACTTGCAGTGGAGAGCGTGCTTAGTTGATGGCTTTTAACTTAAGATACTTTCACATATGAGTTCTACTTAACTAAATTAATTTAAACTCGATATAAGCCAATACAAGTTCTCAACAAACCTTTTATTCTCAGTCTTCTTGCAGAGAGAGGTGGAGTAGTGCAAAGTTCTGCACATTTCTGTCTTTTTCAGTTAGTTGTACAAACTTGGTTCATAAATTGTTCCTTGGCAGGTTTCAGGTATTGTTTGGTTCCTGTGGCAATGGCAATAAAGAAATGACATAGACCAGGTACTTCTTTTAAGTGGACCTTCAAAGGTAAAAGTAAAAAACACAGACACCTTGGATTTGTGCATTTATTTGTGGCTCTTAAGGTACATCAAGACTACCTGAAAGGCACCTAAAAAGAGGGGGTTAACCTGTTTCAAATCTAAGTTTGTGTTAGATGTTAATCTTTCTGCATCTTAAAATACTAAAGGAAGAAGAACAAAGATGGTAACAGTGCTGATCTTCACCCAAGGCACTGTGTGGTGATTTTTTTTTTGTTTTCTGTTGAAGTTAAGTTGGTGTTAATGAAAGTTGTTCATCTGATACTAAATATTCCTCTGCCTTACTGCTTTTGGCTGCTGGCATGTCACCATCTCGTTATCTTCTGGGCTAGACAGGACCTGAATGTCTGATGTATAAAACAGGCACGTTTTCTTCCTACAAAAAAGCTATTGGCCATCTTTCTCCTCTAAGTGAGATAAAATGGCACGAACCCAGTTCTCTTCCTTTTCGGGTCACTTTTTAATGTCTGAACATGCGCTCCCTCTGTGCTTGCTGGAAGTCCTACATTTGTTCTAACACGTGGAAGTTCTGGCAGCCTGCTAGATCTCCCTGGGCACCAGCATCGAACTTTGCTCTTTCATTTCTCACTGGCGTAGTTTCATGCCAGAGCTGTGAACAGCATCTTTCCTAAGATGTCAGCACTATCTTTTCCTCTGATGAGCAAATGTTTAAGATGCCATGCTTTGCTCAGTGACTCTAGGTGTTGTCACGGTGTACTATTTTTGCGCTAACCATAATTACGTTCAGCGGTTTCAGATGTTGTTGAAATGCATTAAGGAATCCCCCTGGTGTTTGAGGATTCTTTTTTTCTTTTTAATAGGATGGGTTATAGCTGAAGGCATCACTGTGGACATGGCTGGGAGGCTGATGCATACCGGTTGCCTCTGGGAGTTCCAGAGAGGACTAATCTGTTTCACCTGCCCTGAAATAAGAAATATGTTTCTACTTAGCCTTCTGTTCATAAAACAGCAGCTGAGGTTTATGGTGTTTTATGTACACGCAGCCTTTTATGACAAAATAGGGATTGTTCTCCTTAGCCCGGGCAAACCTGGCATTTGTTTCAAAGTGTAGTGTGTAAGCGCAGCACTGAATTGTTTGGAATGGAACAATGTTAATGAGGTCACTTCTGCATCGCGGTGTGAGAGAACGCGCAGAATAATCTACCGGTGTAGTAATTTGATTTGCTGGCTGTTATGTTGTTGCGTAGCCGTAATTCTCAGTAAGATCTTCCTTCCCTATCCTCCTTAATCTATAAATCTCTCCCACTCGTTGCGTTGGTGACTTGAGTAGTTGCTACTCTTTTCTTTCTGCTGGTATTCAGCATTTCTTTAGCATGTTCTTATCATGGCTTTTCCTTGATTTGTAATAATACTCAACTTTTACACAGCTTCGTGCATCTGTATAGCTTGCTATGTAATCTGTCCTGCTTGTGCTTTGCTTGACAGGCATAGAAAGGCTTGAAAAGGATGGCATTCTTTGTAATAAAAGGGCTGTAATTAGGGTCTTTTTGTTTTAATTTGCATCACAGGGCTAGAAGCCATAAGCATGGTGGGGTATTGAGACACTGAAGAGATTGGCCTCATGCTTAAAGACAAGAGAGCAGAATTTCAGTGCTCCCAATTGAGCCTAGCTGCAGATGAGGACAGCCCCACGTCCCCATGGTGCGGACGTGCCCCACCATATCTCTCCAGCCCAGCAGGTCACCTGGGAACTGTTTCTGTTTTCTTCCAGTTGTGGGATTTTCCTAAGCAGGAATGATTGCTGCAGCTGTTCAGATTAGCTGCGTCTTCTGCTGAGACACGTGGATGTCGGCATCTCATCAGATGAGACACATTTGGAAGAAACTGTGCAACTCTGCAACCACTGTCTTCTTTGAAAGCCCGTTTGTTGCCGTGTGTCCCAGGATCGGCATTGGATGTCACGATGTGACAGGGGTGCAGTGCTGCTGTTTGTACATACTGGCAAAGTGCACTCTGGCTGAGCTAAGTGAGCAGGGGTCTTCAGTTGTGAAGGATATTGATAGGATAAACCTGTGTTTGGGTCTTGAGGTGTTGGGGCAGTATTAGGAGAGGGAGGAGGGCTGCCTGGAAGAGGGAAATAGATACTGCACTTGAGTAGTGTGCTCAAAGGAGAGACTGTTTTTGACTCTGAAGTTCACAGGACTGCGTTGGTTGACTGGTTGGGAACAAGTTTACCTGGCTGTCCTATGGACAACCCAGGAAGACATCTTGATGTTGTCCCCACAAGAGGACCAGCAAGGGAGCTACTCTGCTTCATTTATTCTGTAGTACAGTTACTCTGTTTGTAGGACAAACACAGGTGAAGGGGAGGAAAGGAGGGCTGGAGAAGCCCCTTTATGTGCTTGCTTGCTGCTTGAACCCATCAGAGTAACAACCAGCCCAAAAAAAGCTGAACCAAACCAAGTAAGTAGCCAGCTAGCACGCAGCGTACTGACAGAGCATGAGGATGGGAGGAGAGGTGTGGCCACAAAAAGAAATGTTTATCAAACTACAGGAGGAGTTCCCCAAATCTGGGGTATGATGTTATTTACACAACAAACCTGATCATCTGGTTGGAAGCTGAGCTTTGTCCTCTTAACTCAGGCCAGGCCCCGGTTGTGACCTGTTGATGGGATGGGAGCGCTGCCCTTCCTCTTTGGGGTCAGACAGTATGACCAAAGCTGGGCTTGGAAGAGGAGGAAATGACGGCAGTGCTGGAATGCTCTGCCATTGCTGGGAAGGCCAAAATAATGAAATGATTCAGGTTGGAAGGGAATTTAATCTTGTTTGGCCCCACAGCTCAAAGCAAGGATAAACTCAGTTAGGGCAGGCTGCTGTAATGAGCCTTACTTTTCATTAGTGCTCAGGTCTGCAAACTTGCAATCATCAGGAAACAAAGCTAGCTGAAGGCACTTGAATTAATGTTGGCCAAAAAGAAGTCGCAGTCCCTTGGGTCTTCCCCCTTGTCTCTTTTCCCTTGTAACCTGATTTGCCTTACTGCAGAGCTCCCTCCCTGACATCTGGAGACCACGTTGATCTTTTGCACCTCCGGAGCGATCTGAGTACTTTGCGGTGTGCAAATTCTCCTGTCTCTTACAATACAAATAACAAACTTGTATGAAAATGTAGCAATAGTTGAGACACTTGGAGTGGATGTACAAAAAGTAGCAGTTACAGACTGATTGAATGTGGTGGTTTCTTCCTTTACTGAGGGTTTATCTGAATGCCAGAATAGGAAATGTTTGGTCTGGTTAGCAAGGAGTAAAGAAATGCTCCTAACTGAGGAGAGGATTTTGTATGCTGCTAACCTGAAAGCCGCAGCTGATTTTACGTGTGTGGATTACTTGTTGGGATATGTTACTGCCTTGTGCATAAAACTGGCTTTTGCAAAAACTTCACAGATGCTGGTGTGGCTGTATGATAAGCTGGACTGAGGAGCTGACCCAGGCTGAAATGTTTTTGGTTTTATTTGGGGAGCTTGTTCCTCTGTACTTGCTGCTTCATTTTAACCTGATGTGTTCCTTGGCCCAGCTCTTTTGCAGCTGCATTGTGTCCTGGCACAAGAGAAGGGCCACAAGACGGGAACAAGTGGCAGAAGAAAGTTGTGATGGCTTCCTTCGCTTGTGGAGGCAGCGTAGTTTATTCTTACAACCTCAGCTTTGTGTACTCATTGAGATACTATGGAAATAATCTTTTATGTTCTACATGAGTTGAATATCATTTTAGGAAGGGGCCATACGCTGTTGAGGTATGAGAAGGATATTGATGTTACCAGAAAAACTCGTATTCCCCAAAGGTTTACCTGTGCAGTGCTGCTCTTTGTCCTCGTATTTGGCAAAGGCCTCACACCTAAAAGGGAAGCCCCGTGTGGGCTTTTGTTATATAAGTCTTCAGTGAGGTGTCACATGAAGGAGAAAAAATGGACCTGATGGGAAATATGGAAATGCCCCAGGAGGAGAAGTGTCTTTTTAGCTGACAGAAGCTGCTTTGAAGCACGCTAGATTATTGCTGCATGTTTTCAGATACTTTTTGGATGGCATTTTACAACTGCAGGTGTCTTGCATTGATAACAGCATGATAGCTGCTCACTGTTAGGCTTTTTTCAGTTTTGGGTGCCGAAGTGGACCAAACACTTGACGATGAGGACAGCGAGATGCCTTCCCCTGGGCTGTTATAAACAATCACTCTGCTGTCATTTTGGAGAAGGTCATGAAATTACCCATCCAGTGTACCCCCGTGATAGCAGCGTAGACAAAATGCATTTTTCCTTAGGGTTTTTTTGCTATCTAGCCACTCTGATTATGGAAATATTTTAAAGCCTGGCTCTGAAGAGGATCTCGATGACTGAAGGGAAGAAAGAAATCATGCGTTTCACTTAAGGTGCTATCTCTCACTGCCACGGGAACCCTTCTGACTTCACAGGACTGTTTTGGGTTCTGTCCTTTCCGTGCTAACGGTGCTC